AACATAGGGTATATATATGAGGGGTTCCTTGTTTGGATTTTTCGCTCGATGTACTTGTTCCATATAGTTAGGGGTTAGTGGGAGTATTTACATTTTAGATAGTTAAGTGTAGACATCGAAGATGGTTTTTTGAGAGCGCGAAGATAATATGTAGTGCTACTTCCTGCATTTATTGAGGAAGTGAATTGATTTATGTGCATGATTATTTATGTAATTATATTTAGATTTAACGGTAGAATGAGGATATTTCCACTCAGGTTTTAACCTTTTGGAACACATGATATATATATGGGGGGTTCCTTGTTTGGATTTTTTGCCCGACGTACTAGTCCCATTTGATTAAGGGTTGAGTGGAAATATAGTCATCCTGGATTGTTAAATATAAATTATATGCTTGTCTAGAGTAATATTATTTGTTTAAGTATGCTTTCTAAATTTCGAGGACGAAATTCTTTTAAGGGGGGAAGAATATAAAACCCCGTATTTTGTTAGAAGTATATGTGAACTATTAGTGATAAATACTTATACAAGTTATTAAACATGTATAAGTATGGTTTCATAGACTTTTGTGCATTGGTTTTGGCTGAATAACAAAACATGCATGAATCTGGATATATATGTCTGCTCAGTCCACTTATGAGTCGACTCAAGAGTCGACTAACGAGTCGACCTATGAGTCGACTGACGGGCTAATTTTGGGTGTTCTTTTAGTTACGGGTTTGGTTGGGTTTTGTTCATGTTTTAACCGTGATATATATATATATAAATATTATTTTACCCGAAACCAACCCAAAAACCTATCAGAATCCCAGAGAAAACCCTAGCCTCTCTCTCCACTCAAACCCTAGTTCGTTTTGGTGATTTTGGAGGAGTTTCGGAGGGGTTTTCAGCGGGATTTTTGTGGTGCTGTCGAAGGGGGATCGTCGTCTCTCGGATTCAAGAGTTTGCAGCACATCAGAGGCGAGTAACATCTGAGGTAATCATTAACGTGATAGTTTTGATAGCCCCGCCATCCTATTTGAAGAGGATTGGTGGGGGAATTTGGAGAAAGCAGACTATCAGAGGTGATCATTAACGTGATAGTTTTAGTGGACCTGTCATCCTATTGAAGCGGATTGACAAGTTGATGGACTATCAGAGGTAAATGTTAACGTGATAGTTTTGTGGACCTGCCATCCTATTGAAGCGGATTGACCAGTTGATGGACGTGATAGTTTTGGTAGATTTTGTGGTTGACAGAGGTATTCTATTAAACATAACAACTCAGAAAATTTATTACTCAAATCCAATGAACTACAAATAAATCGACCCCCAGTCTTGAATAAGTGCATGGGGAAAAAGGGTAGACATGGCACGTCGCCTAGTGGGCCACAATCTAACGAGCTTGACTATCAGAGGTAGTTGTTAACGTGATAGTTATTGGAGACCCGGCATCCTACTGAAGAGGATTAGCTTCAGTGGTCGTAGTATCTTCCCCTTCTGACTGAGGAGATTGGGCTTGGTCCGATTGCTCAGGAGAAGATTGGGCTTGGTCCGATTGCTCGGGCTGATCTTGCCCACTTTGTTCTTCAGCTTTGATCCTGGCAATAATCTTTTGAGCCTGTTCGCCTTGAGAGATTAGTTGTCTCCAGGAACGGCATTCTGCAACCCCTATTCGAGCTAGGATGTTGGTCTGCAGGTTGTGTCGACAGGTCTCTACTAAGGTAGACTGTGTCATACCTGACGAACACCGGAGAGCCATGGTTCGGAACCTCTTGACGAAGGCTTTGACGGACTCCCTATTCTTCTGCTTAGTGGCGAGAAGGGTATAGATGGAGACTTCTGTATCATCTTCAAAGAATCTTGATAGGAAGAGTCTCTCTAAATCTGCCCACCTTTGGATACATCCGGCAGGTAGTTTCCTGAACCATTCAAAGGCAACTCCCTTAAGGGTGCCAATGAACAATCGAGCCAGAATGGCATCGTTTGATATCATATTTCCAGTCTGTGACTTGAAATGATAAATATGTTGGTTCGGTGATCCCGTGCCGTCAAAAGTTTGTAGCGTCGGGACTTCAAATTTTGGAGGATAAGAGGCTGCGTCCCATTCGGCAGGGTAGGGCCTGACAACTCCCTCATCTTGGAGCTCGCTTCTGTTAGCAATGACATTGAGGCGTGCTTCCAATTCCTCGATTTTAGCCGACTGAGGATTTTGCTCATACTTCGTCTCTCTTCCTTCATAAGAGGAAGATTCTAGGTTGTGGGCTTCTTGGTCAGAAGCCGTGTCATCAACCATTTTCCCCTTCCCTTTGCTTGTGTGAGGTCGGGACGAAGACGTTCTTTCCCTTCGGGAAGATTCTTGCCTGAGTGGCGAATCTGTCTTCTGAGATTTGGCCTTGTCTGCGACGAGTTGAGTCAACAGGGCCAGGAGTTCATTGATGGCCTCTTGCTGAGATTTGAGCATGGCCTCCTGCTCATCAAGTCTCTTCGCGAGATCTTCATGGTTTCCCGTCATATAAGCGTAGCTCTCATGTTCAACAAAAGAGCTTGATGACTGGGACTCTGCAATGGCTGAGTGTTCATCATTGGAATTGGTTCCCCTGGCTAAACTCCGATAGTTGACAGGGGGAATGGCTCCTGTTCGCGTCCGAGTATGTTGATAAACTCCATCAGACTTATTCAGGAAGTCTTTCAAGCCAGGAGACTGATCGTTCTCTGACTCATCGGAACTAGGAACTGATGATCTCCCTCTGCCGATCATGTTAGAAGTGACTCTAAGGTATTCATCCTCAGAAGTCTTCTTCTTGTGTGAACGCCGTCGTTGGTTGGGTAAAGCAACGTTCGTAAATTGGTTGAACACCAGCAGTTGGGCCGCATATGAGCAGCATTGGCGTCCCGAGAGGACCGTAGGAATCAGTCGTTCACATTGAAATGAACGAATGACTTGTTGCATCGATCTTTCTCTCGATGTGAACTCTCTCGAATCTGTTATAAAGATTCGAGGAGAATTACTCACTGATTGTGAGGTTTGAACTGGAACCCCCAGTCCATGATTGGACAGGACTGGCTCTTGGTGAATATGGATCTGGTTGAGATGCCTTGAATCCATAAACTTCTTATATCCGCCCCTCAACCTAGTCGCGCTACGCAGAGAATTCGGGGGTCTCGCTGCCCGGTCAGCGAGTCGGGGGTCCAGGGGGAGACGCGAAGGTCGCGTTTGGTACGAAGATCGCGTTTGGCGCTTGAAACACAAAGGTCGCGTTTTGGTTTGGTAACGCGAATGTCGCGTTCTTCAGTGTTGACGCGAGGGTCGTATTTTGACTAAAAAACGCGAAGTTGAAGTTCGCGTTCAACGAAGGCTTGAGGTCCACATTTTGGTTGTAAAACGCACCATTGAGGGCCACGTTCAGTCTGGTTCTCGCGAAGCTCATGTTTGGGCTCATAAACGCGAAGTTCAGGGTCGCGTTCAGGCTCACGAACGCGAATCTCGCGTTGGTTGGAGGATCGATTTTCTCGAAGTTGTACTTGTCGTCGAGATCTTCTTCTTCGTCGAGCGGCGTTCTTGTTGGCCTGTGACTGTTCGACAAATTGCGGCCAAAGGAGAGGACTTTCTTCGGCACTCCAGCAACAGTTAGAGATTTATTCTCCTTGGAGACTTTGTGGATCTTGCGCATAGCCTTGGGGCTAAGGGATCCGGAAGAGATAGCCTCCTCAAACTTGGCTTGATTAAACTCTACCACGAGAGTTTCGACAGTTGTTCCAGTGAGATGAACATCGGATTGCACCACCACTTCTTCGTCACAGAAGCTAATCCCCAGCGGAGTCGCCATCTTTTGTTTGTGGGAAAATTTGCAGTAAAAGAAACGAAGGAAAATTGATTTGTATTTCTTTAATCTTTGTATTCCTTTGATTCCGATTACAATTTGATTACAAAAGAGAGGAGAACGAATTCAGTTCTTCCTCTTTGTTTAAAACTGGGTTCTTCACGGTGGCGATGGAGTGCCTCCCTCGAATGCTCGCGTCGAGTTTGCTCTCCGTTGACGATCCGCACGTCTTGATTCACTGGAACAATGTCTTCTCCTCACGATTTGACGTTGTAGAGAACTTGCGTGGCAAGTTTGAGAACTCAGAACGAGTTTAGAAGAACTCTGCAAAAGAGTTGATTTGAACCGAAGATCGGTTAATAGCCAAGGCTAGGAACCAAAAGAGAGCCCCCTGAACTGAATTGATCTTCAGTTATTTATAGAGGATTAAGGGGGTGAAACCGCCCCTTAAACCTCTCCTAAGTGGGGTGTAACCGCCCCCAAATCGTGGGAAACGGTTTTAGAACCGTTCAACTCGTGTTGAATGAGTCAAACGCCCACGTTGGCGTTCAGGACCCTACTTCGCCTCTTAGAATTGAGACGCGAGGTTGGGTGTTGGCTGAACACCAATGAACGCGAGGGTCACTCGCGTTTTGGCTTGTTGTAACGCGAGTTTCGACCCTGGCGTTTTGATGTTGCAACGCGGGTTTCGACCTTGGCGTTTTAACATTGTAACGCGGGTTCGACCCTGGCGTTTTACTGTTGATACACGGGGAGGACCTCCGCGTCTTGCCTTTGTCATTGCGTTGCAAAGATCATTGTCTTGTAATCTTCGTCTTGGCTCCTTGAGAATATGAGAGTCGTCAGATTGTAACTCCCGATATTGATTGTGAAGGCCGTTGATTAGAGCTTTCATCAGTTGTCGTGAAGGTCGTCAGATTATAACCTTCAGCGATCTATGTGAAAGTCTTCAAATTGTAGTCTTCTGGAAGTCGTCAGATTGTAACTTCCATCATCGGTGTTTGATGGGGGATAAGCTATCTATTGTGATTTTTAGACAGCCTACAATTTCTCTGAGTGTGGGGTTAGTTTCTAGTTCAGAACCCAAATGGTCCAGCACTTGCTGCCACACAACAAGTCTGTCCTTGTTTTGTTTGGTAGCGAGCGCTAGGGGGATCCCGTTACATTTTCTCAGGATCTTCTTAGTGAGATCATCAAGACATTTAGGAGGCTCATGGTCGGGACCAAAAACTTTCCAGTGGAGCAGAATTCTTGAATGCTCTAGGGAGAGAGGTTGCAGGTGGAAGATGTGTTCACTGAAGAAGGAACAAGCCTTAGCCACATTTGTATTTCTCGTGGTCATCAAAACTCTGCTGCCATTACCCGAATCAGGAAAGGTTGATTTTATGTCCTGCCATGCTTGTACAATCCAGATATCGTCGAGAACAATTAGGTACTGTCTATCCTTAAGATAGTCTATGATCTTCTACGCCAATACTTTCACATCTGAAATGTGTTCTTCAGAACCTTTGCACTTCTCGAAAATTCTCATCAAAAGATTCTTCCTACTGAAGGACTGAAAAACAATGGTCCAGATCAGACAATCAAAATGACCATCTTTCACTACTAAGCTGTCATATACTTTTTTGGCGAGAGTTGTTTTTCCTAATCCACCGGTGCCGACAATGGAGATCACATCCAGCTGAGAGCCCTTCTTTAACAGCCACCCAATAAGCGTATCTCGGGGCGTCTCGCTGCCCACAGGATCATTAGTTTCTTCGATCAAGACCGCATTCAGTGGAGGACCAAGCATCCCAAAGCTACTGGTATTGCTATCTAAACGAGTTGTGCCAGCAACAGGATTCCAAGATGTGAAGCCATATCGATGAGCTCTCTCACTAGCTTCCTTTGCATCAGATTTTATCCTTTTGATCTCATGTGCGATCCACATGCGCACCCTGAGCCTTGTTACGTAACTCGCAGTGATGCGGAGTGGTCCGAAGAGGCCCTCGACATGCGGATTCTCAACCCGCACTTTGAACTTATCGATACAATCTTCAGCATCGAATGCAAGCTCCCTAACTGTTTTCACCCACTCGGCCTTAATTATGCTCCTTTGACCGCCTTCTTCTGCAACGTCGTCGTATAAGAGTGCGTTCATGGTTCTTAACTCATGACTTATGTTCTGAATTTCTGTTCTCACCCCAGCAATCAACTTTGCTTCTTCACATATAAACTTCTCAAGCTTCCCAACAATTGCCTGTATCACAGTGTCTGCCATGTTTATTTCCTCAGTTGGATACTCTGCATAATATTCAATCAAATATTTCAATAAGAAAGTATATTCTATCCATATTATACCACTGCAGAAATGAAAACAACACCCAATTCATGGACAAAAAGAACATAGAAAGTACATCTGCATTTAACGATTTAAGTATAGAAACAGAAACCAATTTTGGGACCCCACCA